CACAACCTGCCCTAGCGGTTCCGCTACGCCACCTAACCAATTGCGGTGTTAACACCCAGCAGTGTCCCACACAGAGTTTGGCTTTTGGGATTAAACCTAGCATCCAGAAATGGGCCTACTAAATCTTTATTTTTACTGCGCCATCTGCCAGCAAGAAGCTTGATGTCTAATGTGAAGACGATTGGTTCATTTGTAAGCCTGAGAGCTGCATGTTGAGCCGTGACAGTTCACATGTGGAAACATAACTTTTCATGGCTTCTTTATTTATAACCATAAATGGCATAAGGCAGAATAAGGTGGGGAGTAGGCCTACCTATTACAGTTACTGATATTCGCAGTAACCCTTGTTGGTTAACTTAGAAAGAGTAAAATTTGATGGCTCTCTCTAAACTTATTGACAATTATAGTCAGACTGGTGCAGGAAGACTCAAACATAGAGGCTATTGCTTTTAGTACTATGTAGGAGTGTAAAGAAATCCTTGCACTTCAGTATTGCAAGATTGTGCTTTGTGATACTGTATTAATTCAAAATAAAACCAAATTTTCAATTTATAGATAACATGCACACATTTGTTTTTTAAATTGCATTCATATAGGCTAAATTAATTTTGCTCAGACTGCCCATTAAAGCACAGGCTACCAAAGAAACTGTCATAAGACTCCCATTTTACTGGCTACATTATGTAGATACTTAAAAATAAATACAATGTAGCTGGTGTGTGATAACAACAGACATACACAAAGTAGCAGATGTGTTAAAAAAAAAAAAAGGATTGCTAGGGTTGCTTGTTAATAGTTCAGTTTCAGTCAAGTTGTGGAGCTAGTCATGCTGGTGTAGCGAAGTTAATGACTATGAAGAAAAACATGATCTCTATATACCACGCAGTGTCACGCAGTGTCACTATCAATGTTGTGATCTTGTACTGAACATCAACTTTCAGTACAAAAGAACTCACTCCAGTATTGTTTTGCTCTCATTGTTCTGATTGCACTAACAGTAAAACATTTTGGCCAGTTTTCATACAGATACATATACAAAAATGGTCTTTATTTGCTTTACATCTAATTTTGTCATAGTATTGCAATATATTGCATCATATCAGCTTATAATTGTGAAACATGATTCAATACAGTCTTGGTTGTATGGTTAGGTAAATAATAGTGAACTGCTTTCCACATTCTGTTTAACTGCAAACAAAACTTGTCAAAAACAACCTTTGCAGGACGACCATCATTTGAAAGTATGTGCAAATGGAATATTTGCACCCCATGATTACTTATATTAATCATGAAGTTGACGGTAGTCTCCATCACACCGGCTCCCCTTTTAAGAAAAACACACAAGCACACACATACAGTATACACACACATTAATAGACACAGCGAGAGATGAGGCCATGATATGTGGTGGTGGTGGTGTGTCAGTTTATTACACAACACAAAGCACCTACAATAATCCACTCCCTGTTGCATCAGACAGTGGAAGATCTCACTTTTTTCACAGTGATTTTTATGTGGACATGTTTAGACAAGGACATCAAACTGGTTTATCTAAATGACACAAAAAGAAAAAAGAGCCTACACACAGAAATTCACAGCCAATATCGCACACAAAAATAAAGCAGTGTCAACAAACAACAGAAAATTGAGTAAAAAATAGAATTTAATCATTTAAATAGTTTTTTTTAAAATACAAACATTGATTTGAACTTCTAAATAATAGAACGTTTAGTAGCTATTCTTCATTATAACTGGCAATGTTAAATGTACATCGTGGCTATACAAGGAAATGTGTGAGGTTTGGTAATTTATTGTATTGCTCATTTGTATTAATGCGCACATATTTAATAAAACTACAAATGACTTGATCATTTCATCAGAGACACTGCAAATAACCCTGCCTTTACCCTAACCCCCGTACCTAAATCAGATTTGTTTGCCAATGAAAATAGGACCTTTGTGTACGTGACCAGGTGAATATAAAGACTCGTTCACAGCTCTTAAGCTGACCCAGGCTAGTTTACTTCAAAGTTGGTTACTGTTTCAGAATGTTGGTTAGTAAACACATCAGAGACAAAAACATTTTTGAGATGACGGTAATGTTTATGTTGTAACCATGAAATAAAAGCAGGTGAGTCAGAGGTATCACTTCCTGCTCCAGAGCGCTGGCTGTAGTTAATATCATCTGTGTGAATATTTTCCATTATGAACTGTTGTAAAATGACCTCCAGTGTTTTCCTGTAAAACCAGCAACAGTCACTTTGTACCACAGGGCATCTTCTAAAGCTTGATTAATGAGCCATGTAGACCTTAAAGAGATCAAAACTAAGACAGAATAAATCTCAGGTATTTGCGCGACTGCAAGACATTCAATAAAACCCAATAATCAAATCAGCGAATTCAATGATCAACCATTACATTTGTCTCCACAGCTTTTTTTGGCCATCTGGCTCACTGTGCCTCCTGAGGTAGCCCTCTGTAACTTCACCATGCTGCTAAATCTAGATAGCCTTTGATCCCTAAAACGACAATCCGCTTCAGAAAACACACCATTGCTCACATTAAAATAAAAACAGTTAGTATTCATAACGTCCTGAATGGAAAGCTTCATTTAATACCAAACCCACAACAGTGTCACAATGTAAATAAAATACCCTTAAATCCTAAAAAGAAAAATGTATGAAAAATCAAGTTTCAAGTCTTTACAAATTTCAGAACACTGTAAGCTGCACAAATAGAATTTTAATGGGGAATTTGCATCACATTTGCTGGCTTTATTATCTTTAACTATAAATGGCATGTTACTGTTTCTTGAAATGGAACTGAACCAGGCTAAAGGATTGTTGACCGTTGGGCCACGAAATGTTATGTAATGATCTGATTGTGACATCAGATACTGTAGCCTTGCATTTGAAGCTTACTGTATTGATCATTTCTACTGTAAGTATACAGACCTGCTGAACAGAGGGTACGACTGTCAGGATGTTGTCAAACAACATTTCAACATCCAAAAGGAAGATGTTGTATACGTTTCATTTCCTGTCCCGAGCCCATCACGGGCACTTTGAAATTGGAGTTAGGCAGATGTAAAGACACAAAGGACAGATCTCACATTGAAACAACTCTTATCTTTTATGCTACGTTCTTCCATGCTGCAGAAAAAAAAATAATACAGCAGACTCTCATCATACACCTATCAGTCATTTTGGGTTAGCATTATAAGTTATAGAAAATCAGAAGGTCAGACGGATATTTTTTTAACAGCACAGCTGCTGAAGTCAAAAATAGTGGTAAGATCTAAAGAAGGGGAATAGAATAAAAAAGCAGATGAGTTATATGCATTTCTTTTCAAAAGCACTGTTGTTGCCACACTGGCTTTCATGTCAAATAGTTGTGTTCTTCCCTGATCTCAGTGCAGCCCAATGTGTTAAGCCTGATTTATACTTCTGCGTCAAACCTAGGTTGTGGCATACTCCGAAGGTTCCCATAGCCCTGTTCCTACACATAGGCCTGCGTATGAAGCCTGACGTGCCCCTCCTCAAAAATGTAACTATGCGTTGAAACAACACAAACTGCAAGCTCTGTGATTGGTCTGCTGGGTAGTATCGTCGGGTACTGTGTGTGTGAACTCTGGTGCGAGTTAAATAGCTACAGCACTTCATCAACTGTACTTAGTTACCATCTGAATATATCTCAAGTGCACTTCGTTTGAAGGTGGAGTATTGCAGAGCTACGCAGTAGACAAAGCACTAATGTGTAGCGCTCACGGTGGTGTAGGCCACTATGGCATAGCTTCATCGTAGATTGGAAGCAGAAGTATAAATCAGGCTTTATGTCTGCACACAAACATACTTGCTTACTTGTACGGAAGCAAGTTTTATGTGTGACACTTAAAATACAACACTGCATTTACTTTCCAAAGTGGAGAACTTTTTTTTAACCCACAGAATCTTCTCCTGGACTGCAAAACAATTGCACAACCTTTTATAAAGAATCCTGCACCTGCTGTGTACTTCAGTACGTTCCAACTCCAGGATTTTACTCTGACAGTGTTGGTAGTTCCTTTCTGACCCAATCCAGACCCTCCTGGGAGCTAGACTGGACAGAAAATCAACACTTCAGGGTCCATGGAGTGGAGAACTACTGATATACAAACGCACAACTAGATGTCTCTCCTTTTTATCCACATTTTAAATGTGACAGACAATAATCGAGTCATAATATTGCTTTTAACATATTGCAAGTAATTCCTATGGATTTGCCTACGACTAAACTATAGTAAATACAAGCCCTCCATGTGCATGTCAATCAGACCCTTAACTGGACCCTTGAGTCTTACCCCAGATATGATACTATGGCTTTCATGAGTAGATGTTGCATTCATTAAAAAAAAGTCCAAAAGCCACATGATTGCAGTCTGTCCTCAGGTACCTAAATATCGTTCTTCTTCGGTGCTGATAAAACTGCAGATCAATGCTGTGGTGAAACACATCATGAAATAGTTGAAACAGAGCCGTTTCCTGGCATTTGTCTTCGATGTTTGCACTCTTGCAGCCTCTTACTGTAGTTTGGCAGTTACATCTCACTGTAAATAACCAATTCCCACTCAGGGACATGAATACATGAGGTTTTTCTTTTCTCATTATTTTCCTTAGTTTGTGTACCCTTGAAAAAAGGGAACAAGGGAAATTTCCCTTATTATTATTTTTGAAATAAAATCTTCATCTCTCACAAACCACTCATCAAGTCTGGATCTCTGTTGGGTCTTTCCTTTCGCTGCATCCTCTCTGATTCAGCCCTTTTCTGCTCTAGGGAGAGTCCATCATGGCTTCCAGCATCTCCAGGAATAGTTTGTGCATGGGTACACCACCGCGGGTCTTGATGCTGTAAAAAGTGGTCAGAGCACGACCAGCAGTCTGTCGGAGGAGGGGCAGTGTTAAAAGGAGGCGTCCTGCCCTCTGGGGGTCATCTGGGCGCCGCTGACATTCCAGCTCCAGCAGGGCCTGGTGGAGGAGGTCCCGCAGCTTCTGCACGGCCTCCATGTCCTCAATGTAAACAGAGTCTGACAGAAGATCAGGGAGAACATGGTAAGGAACAGAGTCTTTTTTTTTTCAGCTTTTGCAACAGAAATACAGCACGTGTAGCCAATTGAAAAGTTATGAAAGACTTTGTGTACAAAAATAGTAGATCTCTGTAAAGATAGGAAAAGCTCAATTTTAAGTATTCACTGAATCTTTAAGGGCTGTTTGTAAAAATAGATTATGACTTGCCATAACTATAACATATAATTATAAATATTCTTTCAACGCTTGATCCAAAAGGGCATCTTGACTTGGTTGACGTTTTAATCAAGCATTATATTACCATGACCTGCATGACTGAGAGAACCTCCAAATAAACAAATATTGTCTTCTATTTTTTGTAGTAGTTGCATTCACTGCACCAGTCATTAGCAATACCAGACCTGTCTGCTGCTGTCCCAGACCTTTGGCTGCAGACATGCACATAATCTCATCAAGATAAAAAGCTGGACAATTGACATTGACCGTACCCCTTTCCACCTAATCCACTGTTGTTGCTACATTTAGCGGTTAGATGAGGACTGATTAAATGAGTTAACCAGCTTTGTACATTTGGAAGGACACACTATCCCACATTTATTGACCCCACATTGCTTGTATCAAACTAATTGAAAACTGTGTTTCTAACACAGAAAGCGTTAGCGTGCTGAGATGACTAAGCAAAGAAAAAAAGAAGGAATACTCGTACAATAATGACTCATAGCTAAACTGTGTGCTTACAACCAACCTGCAATAAAAGCTCACTTCATGAAGGGTGTTATGTTATATTTTTGTTTATGCTGTTTTAGAGGGGTAGTCATTTTACTGTGGTCGTAATTGGAGGTGCTGTTAAACTCCATTATGTGACACTATATTAATGATGATGAAAAAGATATACATACTGCAAAACAAAGCTTTAAAAATGACGAGAGTTGATTAAATAAACACCTCTCAGGAGTATGACCTTCATTTGTTTATTGTAGCTCTGTTGTAATGGACAGGAATTATTGTAAATTCTAAACTACCTACCACTGTATCTAATAAGCTAAATAATCCACTATATGCAGGGTTTTTACTAGAATGTTAAAGTTTTAAGCACTGTCAATTTATAAGGCCATTATTATATATCATAAAATTTGAGTTTAAAATAACAGGGACTCCTGATTCCAGGTGATATTTGGAGCCTCTGGCAATAAAGGCTACAGAGACACTTATGCATTCAATGACACCACTAGAGAACGCTTATGTGCACTTTCAGTTTTCGGGATGCAAAAACCTGGAACATAACGTCTAACGTTCTGTATTGTTTATGCAATACAGGTCCTATCAAATCAAAATGGGTTGGACAGTTTCCATGTCTGCATAACAAAAATAAAAGTACCTGAGTTAGTGAGGGCGATGGCTTTTAGCATGACAAATTCCTCCCGGTCCACATTTAGTGCGCGGAAACGGCGAGCGAGTTGACTAATTGCTGCATTTAGCTCTGTCAGTCCCGCAACACGTGACATTTCCTCGTCAAGGACAAAATCCTCAGCGAACACCACCTCGTCCTCACAGCCGAGCGAGCGGTACGCTACGCCCAGCACCAGCACCTCCAGCCACACCGACTGCAGCACAGACATCTGGTCTGCTAGGGATAGAGACAGGAAGCCTGCAGGGGAACACACACACACACACACACACACAGACATTTAAATGCAGAGAGGAAAAACTGTCAATGTGTTCACATTTTTGCTGTAAACATTTAATCACTACGTCCCATAGTAGTTCATACATTTCATCGTTGTACAACCTGTTCTGTTCTAGACTTCTTGTACCCTTTAATTTAGTCGATTTGCTACCACAGCCTCTCCTCCCATATTTTATCCTCTCGCCATCTCTTACCAGGAATGTGTTTGGCCCAGCCGATGATGACGACCAGCTCACGGTCAGCGAGGTCACACAGGGTGGTGAGTGTGCGCTGGGCTGTATCGGGCTGCAGAGGGTCAGGCATGGCAAATAACTTTTCTGGCTCTGCCACCAGGAGGTGGGACACAATGATGTTGGAAGATCCTATTTGATGACATAGACAAGAAACAAATGGATTTTACAGTATAATGCACAAAGAAAATCAGCAGTGAACATTCAGAGACACACAAAATATCAACTCTGTAAAAGGAACTAATGTATGTAACTGTGCTGCTCTTAAATGTAAAATATAAAACACTAACACGTTTCCATATCCCATATTCACATGTAGACTATAGATTGCAAACTCATGTATTTTTGACAAACACACATTCTTATTTTTATTAGAATATGTTTTTTTAAATTAAACTTGCTAAACTCATTAGGCAAATGTAAGTGAATAAAGAAGCACAGTTAACATTATTTGTATTGCTGACGGAAAATGGAATCACACTGAGACCATAACTGGCAGTAGAGGGTGCTGTTTACTCATCATATAATATATGTTGAAGGCAAATTGTGTTTGTTTACTCTAGGCATCTCTTGTTTGACACATCCAGAATATACTGCATTTGCTGGAGGAACACTCTGAGCATCTCGGTTTTAGAAGTTACCAAATATATATAGCGGTAGTGTTGACTGATTACACCTTTACGGTTTGGGACAGTGACATGTGGCACCCACAGTCTGGATGTTAATATCTGCTGTGTAACTGAGCCACACATGGATTATGGTAACAGTAATGGAGCATGTTGCATGTTGTAGGACTAAAAATCAAGTAATATAACAGGAATATTAATCCCACCTTTTTCACTCTCCTTTGTTAGTGGTAGAGGGGCACTCTGGTATGTTGCATTCTCCACTTCTGGGCGCCTTTTGTATTTCTGCCTTCCACCTCTGACCCTATCAAGACGGACTCCTGGGAAAGGGAAAAAATCAATTAAAGTTTGTAGCAGGAAAACACTGAGAAAACATGCATGGTATTTAAAAGATAAGCACAAAAACTCTTCAGATATAAAATGAACACTCACCCTCTTTTAGCATGCCTACTTTGAGGCACTTGGTGAAGCGGCATGCCTGACAGGCCTTTCTGCGCCTTTTGGTGATCTCACACTCATTCGATGCTGGACAGCTGTATTCAATGTTTCCTGTTTGGAAGAACAGAAAAGAACAGAAAACAATTCAATGTTTCCTGTATGGAAGAACAGAAAACATCACCTGTTAGATATTAAAATTTAATGAAATATACAAACATGAATGGTCATTGGCTTTAAAGATTTAGTCCTAACTTCCTTTCTAGCTTTTCCAAGATTCCCAGCACACATACAGCACAATAGCTTCCATGTGTTCATGGTTTTTACAGACCAGTTCAAACCAGATGGGATGGTGGTGGAGATAATGTACTGAGGCATGTTTAACAATAAAAGCATGAATACCTGATGTGTGTCCTCTATGACTCACACTGTCCCAGAATGGAATTTAAAAAAAATAATTTAAACAAATTTTTTTTGTTCTAATAATTTAACCAATAGTTTATTTTGACTACGACTATACGAGCCCTCAAACAGGTGGGTAGAAGTCCTGCTTCTCTCCTTTATAATCCAGCGATACTAAGAAAAGGGTTCTGATGACACCGAGCAAAGTAACATTTTCTTTTCATTATATAAATTAAAATGATCATTATGTTATCATGTTTCGTGATTCTGTTACAATTCATAAAACACTTTCAATTCCTAAAAAACAAATTTAATTTAAAGGGTATTTTCTGTAAGTGATAAAATCCAATCTTGATTCTCTTGCTCAGATTGCACAAATAGCAGGGCTCAAATGTTGGATGTTAGCAGCACTGTGATAAAAACTAATTCAGATCCCACTTTTTAGCAGCATAAAAAAACAACCTGTTAAAAATATCACAACAAAGTGTAGTATATTGAATTATAACCAGCTATCGTTTTACATTGCCAGATTCTCGCAGAAACGCAGCCTATTGACAATAATAACGTTAAAATAAATGTGAAAGATGTCTACTACTTACTTTATTACTATAGTTTTAACAGTCCTCTTATGTTTCAAAGTGAAATGGTTTGAATGGAATACTAGAATACTGCGTGTAGAAAATATAAATATGAGCCAAAGACTCGGACTATCATTTAGTAAAATGTGTAAACTTGTTAAGTTTTGGGGTCATGGTTAGAAAGGTGTCAGAACAAACTCACTGCTTGTTCTGCTGTGCACACACTTCAACTTGACCACAGCACCCACCTTGGATAGTCCTCTTGAAGAATGCTTTACAGGCCTCACATGACGCCACACCGTAGTGGTAACCCGACGCCACATCTCCGCATACTAAACACAGCCTCTTAGGTAACGTGCTCAGGGCGTACTTGCATCGCCCTGCTCCATTTCCAGTGGAGCCCTCCTCTGCCCCGTCTCCGCCCTCGTCTTTGAAGTGACAGCGCAGAGCGGGCGTGTAGAGCGGCGGGGAGTAACGTTTAACGCTGTCTCCTCTGGTTCCTCCACCTCCACTTTGAGAGGAGTCTGAGGAGGCCCCGCCAGGGCTGGTCCGACCTCCCCCGCCTCCCTCTGGACTGCTTGGTTCTGCCTTTATGTAGACATCTGACCGACGTTCCCTGGAAGACATGATGTCTGAAGGGGGGAAAAAAATAGACAACAAAGAAAGGTCGAGGTAAATAAGGGCGTACAACCTTTTGCCTACATCTTCTTTACTTCCTTTATGCCCCCATGTAACAAAATAAAGACAAACAGGATATATATTTTTTGATTTTTAATGTTAATGAAATAAAATATCATCTATAAAAATTTAATCACATGGAATCAAAGCACATATTAGCATTTTCATTATCAGACTTGTCTACTTAATCTAAAAAAAACACAATGGATTGTGTAATGTACAGCAGAATGTAGAATAAGTACTTGTTATATTGTTGGAACAATGACATAATCTGTTATAACCTGCCAAGGGAAAAATATATATATTAGCTAACGCAAGCAAATCTGAATCTCAAAATGTGAAATGAAACAGTTTTCAACCGAGAACAGTTGCTAAATACCCGGCCACAGGTAAATACTTTCATTCATATACATCAAGTGAAAAGACAGGGCCTGTCTCTAATGACCAATCATGAGCTAAAGAATCCTATTACTGACTGTGACGTTGTCTCCAAGCCTTTGCACCAAACACTAATGATCAGTCCTGTTTGCAAACATTTTAAGGTTGTCCATGTAGGATGGTTGAGTGTAAACACAGGAAATGGAAGGAAACAGGCTGATAATCAATTAACCAGTTTTCACTTTACATTAGGATAATGGTCAACATCATCTACAGGTGCATCGACTGGCACAAGCATCTTGTTTTTTATTATCAGTAGTATACTACAACACAACAAAACGTTCCCTTCAGCAGTAATGCCCCTGTTTGTGACATTGTTTTCCCAGTGAAAAAAAGAAGCCAGTAAACTCACCAAACCAGAACGCTTGACGCATGACTACAACACTGCAGCCCTCAGATCATCCCCAAAGTGTAAAGTCTTTGTCTCTGACTTTGTAGGCATTAAAATAGCCAAGGTGAGTGAATGAAGGTCGCTTTGCTTATGAACAGAGCAGACACATAACTTATGTTCAAGTATGGCAGTAAGAGCACTGCAGCAACCTGTGTGCCTGCCAACGGCTGTCTGTAGTACTCAATGTAATTACACGAGCAGACATGATAAATATGTCATGCATGGCCATGAAACTAAATGTATGTGCATTCATTTAAACACAAAAAGGCCACTGGGTCCAAAATTAGGGTCAAAATAAATTGCACCAATTATTTTGTTTAATAAGAAAAACAAATGCTTCAGAACGAACTGGGAAGAGGGGAGAGAGAAGTCTCCAAGCACTCCCTTTCCCATAGAATATTTCTAAGAGTTTACAAATGTGTCCTTCTCCTACAATCAAATGCCACCCTAAATAGAGAGGTTTGACCACCATGAGAAAACTGGTCGTATGCTTTTAAGCTCTGAAGCAGCTTCCTGTAACTTAGTTCTTAATGCATCAATTATAAATACAATAATCACCCTAAAAGCTGTCTGATCGCTTCGAAAACACAAAGTGGTAATATCAAATGTGCAACACAAATGACTACAGCCTGCCCTGCCCAAATTTAGAGATCATTCCTTCAATTCAGAAGTCTCCTATATTACAGCACTGTAAGAAGACTCAGTATACTCCGAGGATAACAACAAAAAATAAAAAATATTATACATTAGACTCATTCATAATGACAAAAAAAATATTCTCTGCTGAGGTTAAATGGACATTATTAATAGCACGTCCTTCAGGGATCAGACAAATGGGTTAAAAGGGGACCTGTGATCCAGTTTGTGCCATATTTGTCTCTGACTTTCCTCTCATGATTGATACATAAATGCAGATCCACTTGATGAGATACGAGAGCTGCAGCCTTAATAGCCTCAATCAACTTAAGACCTCAAATTGACGATTGAATTGATATGAATATATATTCCTGCAAATCAATAGTCTATTACTATGAACCACCAACTAAACTCTTGTGTTATAAAGTACGATGACTACACTTATTGTAAAGTAATATAGTTGCAAAGGTCTTATTTACTATCACAGCACCTCAAAGTATTGGCAACAATCTGTATGTTTATGACATCTAATTAATAAGGGCTCAGTCCTAACCTGCGGTGTACGCTGTTTAAATATCAATCTGCAGGACGAATATACATCGTATTACACTTCCCAAGACATCTATAATGATTGTGCCTCTAATGTCTTTACATTTTGTCTATCTTTTGGATATGACTCTAGGACACCAGGAATTCCTTTACCTAATTCCAAGAACACACGACTGATAAGAGGATGTGTTTCTACTTGTCTGCTAAACAAAAGGGTTACAATTCAATAGATCACTGAAGGGCTATTCAGAAGGCAAGACGATATGTTGCATGTTTTTTTTAAAATCTAATACCAGAAAACTTTAAAGGTATAGACCAATAAACCATTACACGTAATAAATTTGAGTAAAAAAAAGTTAATTTTTTTTGCACAGTCATGTCAGTGGGATTTGTATGATTTAAGGTTTATCACAGTCCCTGTAACATCAAACATTAAAGTACTACTTTAACATTAACATTCGCCTTCACTGATGAAAAACAGAGTCACTTCATGTTACATTTAACCTCATGACAACTGACTGTTTTAAAAGGATACGTGCATAAGCGTAACATATGATTATACTATTGTTAGTTAAGTATAAGCAAATTGATATTCTGACATCCTCAAAAAAATGTTCCTCTATTATCACAGTTCCCGTTCATGAAAATGGCGTTTGGACTTGATCATCGCCGTTCAATGATTCCCCTGTAAACTACTAAGACCCACTGAGAGAAGAAGAACAGGGATTCAGCTCAAATTGATGATAGGATGAAGGATGTGAACATTTAATATTGACTAATAGAAAGTATGATTGTAGATAACTTGTTTTATCTAACATTCAGGCTTTAAATGAGAAACTACATTACAACAAACAAAGTATGCCTTTATCAAATCGACAGCTACAGCAGATAATGCACTCCTATATAAGCTGACAAGTCCACACTGTGTTTGGAGTTTGCCCCCTCTGGACTTGACTGTATGACTGTTTGGAAACAGCAAAAGGAGGGGGCCACAGCAAACCTAGCCTGTTTAAAGTTTACCCTACTTTCACCTTGTTGTTGATTCACACCAACAAAGTATAAATCTACCATGTGCACAGCTGGCCAGTCCCACAGCTGCTTTTTGTAAAAAAGGAGGAACATCGGGGGCTTAGACAACGTTACAACCTCTATAAAGTTACTATTTGTGACATAAACGCAGGTTGGATCTGCAGAAAACACAAGAAAACCCACACGAGGTTGGCGAAAATGCTTTGTTATGTACACAACTCTCCTTTGCAGCATGTCGTGTGTACTGTAAACTAAGCATGTTTTGAGTAGCGTTAGCATTAGCTTAACCCCCCCCAGCTAACACATTGTGATGGCTGCAGGTTAGCTCACATATGCTAAATCGGCTAGCGGTAGTAGCTCGCGTTAATCCTGACTGAACAGCTCTCCCGTCCTCTACTCCCCGGGGTTATTTCCGTCCCTCTAACCCGGACTAGGCTGCATCTTACCTGATAACGGTGACTAGTACAGCGCTTAAGCCTACTGACGGTGTGATATCATGGCACAAGTTTGACTGAAAATCGGTCTCCAGACTGCCAGTGGCTCTGCTAGCTCGTGTTGGTGTGTGAGTGTGCGTGCGCGTGTGTGTATGTGTGAGTGTGTGTGTGTGCGCGCGCGCGTGTGTGTTGATGGGCCGGGCTTCAATCGGCTTTCTCTAACAGCTGGTAGATGATTATGGATGGCTGTACTGTAGATAAAACACATTAG